TGTCATTCTCAGGTAAATAATTCTTTTGTTAAATTTTTTACATATTTATTTGCTTTGTGACTTTCAATATTTTTATTATTTTTAAAATTTTTTTAAATTGCAGTAAGATTGGATTATAACATTATATCGCTTTCAGATGTACATCATAATATATTTGGAATTCTGTGTAGATTACATCATGTTCACCACCCAGAAACTAATTATTGTCCATCCCTTACATGTGAGCTTAATCACCCCTTTTGCCCTCCCCCCTTCTCCTATGGTAACCGCCAATCCATTTCCAATGCTATGTGTTTGTTTGTCGTTGTCAGATAAATAGTTCTACATTGACTTCTGTACTGAACATCACAACAAAAAATACAAGATGAAGTTTTACTTCCTTGTTTCCTCAGGATGCAATGTGACCAGTAAGAAGAAGAATCATATTATTGCAGCTTAATAAAAAAACAACAAACTCATAGTGTTCATGGTAGCAAGGTGACTAGCTTACCTGTTTATCTGCTTGGGCATTCTTTTCTCTCTGATTTCCTTCGTTACTGAGTGCTTACTATGTGCTAAGCGTTGTACAAGGTGACTTTAAGTGCACTATCATTTAATGATTTTGAAATTCATAATCTCAAAAAAATCTTTTGAGAACTTCCACTTTTCTGGCAATATGGTGGACAAGGTACATTAACTACTCCTCTTAATGAAAGCAACAGAAGTTGCTGGATAAATATTGAAAAAATATTTGTAACTGTATCAATTAGCTGGGTAGATAGTAGGTAATATTTAGATCAACAACCAGGAGAAGGTTGAGACTCAGAGAGGATTAAGGAGAGCTTGAACCAGCCTTTACATTGAGGGCATTTGCCAAATTTGATGAACTTCAGCTTACCATCTCATAGCCTCTTAGCACTTGGGGTACAGGAGACAAAGTCCAGGACCCCATAAGGAGTGGGGTCTAATAGGAGACCTTAAATAAAGATGAGTCCTAAAAGGGTTAAAGCTTCAGTGCATGATTAAACTGGAATACAATTGCATTACCCATCACGCATTATGGGGACTGAGAAAACTGTCTATCTGTAAACTTGACATTGAGTGGAGGGAGTGAAAAATCATCCCGGAGAATTTGTAATTGCATGATATCCGTCATTTTTTAAAAAAAATCAGAGTAAGGCAAAGTCATTGAATCATTTATAATGAAAGCAAAAATAAAAAACACACTCATAGAGAACAGTAAGATATTTCTTTGACAGGGGAAAATGACAATCCTTTTACAGTCATTTCTTAAATCAGCAGCCTAAGAGGACAAAAACAACACAGAAGGTTAAAAACACTGTTGAGTTAATTTCTAAGAGTTCCACAGAGAAAATGATGTAACCACTGTCTTACTGGATTCTGAAAGGGAGACTGTCACACCAGAGACATTTCCTTCATTGAAAGATGGTATCCCATTAAGGATGACTGTAGCAAAAATTATGTCAGTTGACATTTCAAGGATGCCAACTGTGGAAATGGTTTTTGTGGCTGGTTGAAGGGGAGGATTCCCAAAGCAGAGGGAAGTCACCCTCTGTTTATATCAGGCTTGGTAATCCTGACCATGGAGTTGATTGGTGAAACAAACACGGTAGCGGTACCCGGCCCATCAACCCCATAAAACATTAACCACAGCCCTGCTCAGAACAAGCCTAACATGTTCTCTTAGCTTACAGGAAACCACCAAGAGAGGAAAGAAAAGGTGGCTGAGACATAGGTCAAATCCAGTTAAAACCAGTTGAAGGCAACATGGCAGTCTGCCTTGACCTGACATAGACCCTGCAGCTAATTATGTGCTCATTGTAATACATTACCGTATTACAGAACACAACCACTGAAGCCATGACAATTTACAACGGCCATGGCAATGGCAAGATATAACCAAATAAGGAAAGAAAAGAGGTGGCACCCCTCAAACGTATGCCCATTTCTTGTAATAATGATGAATATTCCTCCCATTCATTACCTCAACCCCTTATAACAGCTGCTTAATCAATGCAGGAACTAAGAAGTTGATTTGTAAACTTTGTTCCCACCTCTCCATTCTTTGGCCATTGAATAAAGCTTGTGCTATTGAATGCACAGCTTTGGTCTCGTTTCAAAGTTGTGACACCATACAGAGGAAGGACCCCAAGAGGAAGGGCAACAGCCCCTTCTTCAGGTCTCTCCCCAGCTGGGAAAAGAGTTCAATTGATAACCGTGGGAATTCTGTAAGCACTTGTTGGCAGCCTGATCTTCACCTATCTGATGGCCATCCTTTCTTTTTTTTTTTTAAATTGAGGTATAACTGACTTATAACATTATATTAGTTTCAGGTGTACAACATAATGATTTGACACATGTATACACTGAGAAATGATCACCACAATAAGTCTAGTTAATATCCATCTAGGTTTGTAGCTTCAGATCATACAAACTGTGTAGCCAGAAAACCATCTTAGACTCACTCATTGTCCTCCGGGTCTTCTTCTTCTCTAGGAAGATTCTTCTTCCCTACTTCTTTGTCTCTTCCAAATGCTATGTGACAAGTAAGGAGAAAATTGCCTAGACATGTTACAAATTAAAATCTCGAAATACACCTGGCATTTATATATTTATGTTTTCATGTATTTCTTTTTGTTTTTCTGTTGTCTTTTATTATTATATGCTTATCATGTGCCAAACACTGTGCTAGTGCCTCTAAACATACCGTCATTTATTTCTCAAAACAATCAAATGAGAACTTACATTTCTAGCTCTGTAACAGGGTAGGTGCCTTGACTTAAAATATCCTGAAAAACTTAAAAAGGTGGACTAAAAATTCTTCTTAAGTGAATGAATGAGTCACCAGGAAAGTTAGGAATGCTAAAATTAAAGACTAAGTTAAGGTAGGAACCCAGGGAGGTGAGGGGAGTACTGAGGCCAACTTGTGCCAGACCCAGTGAACTTCAGTTTCGCGTTGTGCAGCCTCCATCAGACCAGACCAGGTGGGGACTCTCTCAGAGGACCCTCACATAAATCGGAAACCTTCAGGGAGAGTGTAAACTAAAAATAAGCCCACCTCTCCTCAAAGGAAGTGCACGCAAAATTGCCTGTCTCTAAACTTGATGCAGGAAAAGGGAGGAGAGGAGGAAGCACCTCTTGACAAATAACTTATACCCACAACAATACTTCTCTTGGTTTGCAGCCTCAAACCATGCAATCTAAGTAATTCCAAAGACGTCAAGCCTACCATTTAATTTAAAAAGATCAGGGACCAGCCCTGTGGTCAAGTGGTTTGTCCACACACTCTGCTTCGGCGGCCTGGGGTTTACTGGTTTGGGCCCTGGGCGTGGACCTACACACCTCTCATGAAGCCATGTTGTGGCAGCATCCCCCAGAGAGGAGCTGGAGTGACTTACAACTGGGATATACAGTGATGTGCTGGGGCTTTGGAGAGAAAAAAAGAGAGAGAGGAAGATTGGCAACGGATATTAGCTCAAGGCCAATCTACTTCACCAAAAAAAATTTTTTAAAAATATGAAAACTCTTGTTTAAAAACAAAAAAGAATCATTGGCTAATAATGGCTCCATATGATTGGCCAAAACATGCAAATTCCCTGTAGAAGATCATACCTTCATCTCCGGCTTCAAAAAACGTCTACAAATAACATTCCAAGAAAAATAAATTCATAATCACAAATCTCAAATCACAGATGAAGATAGACACCATGAGTGAAAGCCAGCAAGAAACAAAAACAGACAGCAAGATCAGATCTGCAAAGACTGTTGGTGTTGGAATTATTAAATACAGAATATAAAGCAAGTAGGTTTAAATGTGTCATAGCTTTATGGTCCACTAATAGTCATTCTCCATCTTTGACAATAGAATTCTCAAGTGTTAGTTGAGCACATGTCCACTCAGCTAGAGACTACATTTCCCAGCCTCTTTTTGCAGCTTACTGCGGTTGCGTGGCTATGTTCTAGCTTCTGATGTGGAAGCAGACGACAGTAATCTCTCATGAAGTTAAAAAACAAGATAGAATTAAAATACTCGATAACATTAGGGTATGAGCTGGGAGGTGGGTAATGAGAATTAAAGTGTTCCAAGGTCCCTGTATTGTTTTGAAGGACAGTAAAAATATTGATTACATTTAGACTCTGATGAGTATGCATGTAAAAAACATTTTAGGATAACCTCTAAAAGGTTGAATTTGGACTTGAATTCAGGACCTCTGCCTCCAAATAATTCTAGAAGGAAAACAAACGTTTCCTTTCGTAGAGTGCTATTGGCTTTTCAGCCACAGAGTGGGATTGCTGGGAGTCCAGGACCCAACCTGTCGTTGACTGGCCCCTCACACCTCTGCTTCAGAAGCTGCCCATCACAGTTGCTAGGCAGACCCATGCCTGAGCTTTTCCCAGCACACCCTATCCTTTCCTCACTCTCAGACTCACTCATTCCAAACTATCTGAGATGTTGCCTCTCTCACGAAGCTTCTCCTCATTGACAGAGGAATGGAGACAGCTGACTTCCGTCATACAGACTGCGCACTGGAACTCCCATCCCTCCCACCCCCCTCACTCTGGCCACAAGATGCTCTCCCCATGAACACCCCAAACCCTCTGCTCATTTGGGTCTGCTCGGTCATGCTCATTTAGCTGACTGTGTGTCCTTTCTGCTGCTACAGCCGTGTCCAGATCCAACTTGAAGCTCCTAGAAAACTCAGACTATAGGTCTCCTGCCTCCAACAGAAGTGGTGATGTGGTATACCCTATTGAGAGATGCTTCTTTGAGGCTGACGAGAAAGAACTTCCGAAAGATCCCAGAGTGGAAAAGCTCCAATGAATTCTGGAAACAAACAAAAGGGGAACTCTTATGGTTGAGAGTCAGAAGGGGGCCCTATACCACCCCTTCACCTGCTCTGAGTCTGACAGGTGGCTTGTTCCTGCACATTGAACACTCTCCCCACACCCTCAGCCCCAAATTCCCCAGAGACTCCAAAGATGACTTCATTAACCCCTGGAGCTCTCTTCCCCTGTTCATTTAACGTGCACACCTAGTAATGCTCCATCTGACTTCTACCCATAACCCGGGAGCACACACCCCTAGTTACTGCTCTCTTTTGAGTCTCATATTTCTGTTTGCTTGAGAGATGTGGGGTCCTGCCCCCTTAGCTCAGTCCATTAAGGCTTCTTCCGTGCTAAAGGAGGCACACAGGACTTCCTCACCAGGAAACAAAATCTTGAAGTAGAACAGGTTTCTGGCCCCATCCCTGCCTCAGAGGGTGGGTCCCTTCCACTCTGACAACCTTGATCTCCTTATCCCGTTCTGCTTCTCCCTCCAACCCAGCCCAGTGCCCTGCCTAGTGTAATCATGTCATTCTCCTTTCTAACCTTCCTCTTGACCCCTGATCTATTCCTTCCCAGGCGCAGTATTGTTTTGTTACTTGCTCACAGTTGGCAGAAGAAAAAGCCAACTTCTCAACCCCTCCCCAACCCACTGAAGCTATAAAGGCCTCTGCAGCTCTTCCATGACAAAGACAGGACAGCATCACATGGAGGAAGCCTAAGGAACCCAGGCGTCCAGCCTCCTACCTCCCCGGGCTCAAAGTTCTTCCCAAGAACACATACTGAGGAAACCTAAGCTCCCAGAATCTCCAGCTTTTATCTCTTTGCCTTGAACTCTCCTTTCTCAAGAATCCTGTTCTTTGCCTTCTAGGTCTTGGCCACCTCTGGGATCCAGGCATCTTGCTTGCCAGCCACAAAGACACAGATCGAGATGCAGAAAGGAAACATTCCCTTTAAGTATCGGTTACTAGTGTATCTCCTACTTTTAGAAGCTGGTGAGTGACTTTCTTTAAAAGTGGGTGGTTAAGAACCTTTGAGGGATTGTGGGAGATGGTGACCACTACTAGGACTATTTCTAGTTCTCCTCCACAGAGTGAGGATCATCGTTTTACTCCAATCACTCAGTCTAGTGATGTATCACCCAGGAGGCAGTCAGAGCACAGTGGTTTAAACTGTGGACTCTGGTCTCAGATTGCCAATGTATGAATCACGGCTCTATCTGTTACTTGTGTACTTTGAGTGAGTTGTTTAACTTCTCTGTGCCTCAGTTTCTGCATCTATAAGATGGTAGTAACCTGTGTGATATGGCTGGGGGGAGGGCTAAATATTAAGAACAAGAAGAGTTGACTGTTTTTAAAGATATAGCATCTATATTCTACAAACTTAATTTCTCTCCTGATCCTACCTCTGATTCCACACAGCCTAAGTCAGCCTCAGACCAAGGAGAATAGGATTCAAGAGACAAAACTGACTCCCACTCTGTTTCCACACCCCATCTCCTATTGCACAACCGGAAAGCATGACTTCTTAGAGAATTCATTATTTTGAATCAAAATTACCCCTCCTATAATTTTGACTCATCTATTCTGTTCTCCAAAACTTCTCAGCTCAAATCCACTCTCTCTTTCACATGTCACCCCTACTCTTGGTCATTTCAGTTTTTATTTAGATTTACTTATGATTCTGACCTTCAACTCCATTTGTACCTCATTGCAGATTTTGGGGGTGGCTTTGCAAAATAGAGCTAACCTCGAATCCTATGTTAGATCAAATAAGACTGAGGAAAAAATACACACATGCAGAGTGAGGTGATGGGCATCTATGTTCCAGTTAGTAGTAAAATGAGCCACAAATGAGATAAATATAGACTCTGAGGAGGCTGAGTGCCTTCATCCTTCAGGGTAGTGAGGGGAAACAATAGGCACAACCTTGACCCCAGCTGCACCTCCAAGAAGGTTGAAAAGCTTCCTTATATCTGTAGACCTTGATTTAAAGCCCTGAGTCCAGGAGATTTTATACATTTAAACTACATATAGTTTGCTCTTCTCCAGCCTCTGCTGTAGTGATCAGGAGCCCCTGGAACTTTCATGCATGTAGAATCACCAGGTCCCCTAGTTGAAGAGGCAGGTACATGACCCCATCTCAGACTCTGATTGGTTTAGCTTGGAGTGGTTTGCCTAGGGATCTTTATGCTCATCAAGCTTCCCAGGTTATTCCAATATAGGTGTTTTATGAATAACACTCTAGAGATATTTTCCAAGAAGGGAGCAATACTGTCTTAAGAATCAATCAATCAATATATACTAGTTTCACCTGGATCCTACAGTTCTTTTGTGATACTTTTTATGTGTATTGGATCTTGTAGAGCAGATCATGGAATAAGCTTATCAACCAGTGAAACTGGGTCACATAACCCTGGTGCTGGGGTGGGTGGGGTGGGTGACTTGACATGATCACTAAATGTGAGGATTCGATAGCCTGAGTTCAAATTCTTGTTCTACTAATTACTAGCTGTATAAACCTGGGCAAGTGTCAACATTTCTAAGCCTAAATTTCTTCCTCTTAGTTGGTAATAATAAAAGTGTCTATTTCATGGGGCTATAGTGAGCATTAAATAAAATTATTCCTGTAGTAAATTTAACCAAGCATTGAGCAGAAAGCATATATGCTCAATATATATATGTTACCATTTGTGATTATCATCAGACATAACCTTCAGTGATAGTAGCACATCTGTCAGCACTACATTCATTACAACCTCCAAAGGGATAAGCACAACCTCCAACACTGGATCCAGTGTGACCTCCAATGGACCCAGCACATCTATCAACACTGGATCTAGTGCAACCTCCAGTGGAGCCAGTACTGCCTCCAACCCTGGATCCAGTGTGACCTCCAGTGGACTCAGCACATCTATCAACACTGGATCCAGTGCAACCTCCAGTGGGGCAAGTACTGCCTCCAACCCTGGATCCAGTGTGACCTCCAGTGGACTCAGCACATCTATCAACACTGGATCCAGTGCAACCTCCAGTGGGGCAAGTACTGCCTCCAACCCTGGATCCAGTGTGACCTCCAGTGGACTCAGCACATCTATCAACACTGGATCCAGTGCAACCTCCAGTGGGGCAAGTACTGCCTCCAACCCTGGATCCAGTGTGACCTCCAGTGGACTCAGCACATCTATCAACACTGGATCCAGTGCAACCTCCAGTGGGGCCAGTACTGCCTCCAACCCTGGATCCAGTGTGACCGCCAGTGGACTCAGCACATCTATCAACACTGGATCCAGTGCAACCTCCAGTGGGGCCAGTACTGCCTCCAACCCTGGATCCAGTGTGACCTCCAGTGGGCTCAGCACATCTATCAACACTGGATCCAGTGCAACCTCCAGTGGGGCAAGTACTGCCTCCAACCCTGGATCCAGTGTGACCTCCAGTGGATCCAGCACAGCCTCCAATATTGGATCCAGCACAACCTCCAGAGGGACCAGCACAGTCTCCAATACTGGATCCAGCATGACCTCTGGAGGAACCAGCATACCTGTCAACACTGGATCCAGCACAACCTTCACTGGGGCCAGTACAACCTCCAACACTGGATCCAGTGTGACCTCCAGTGGACCCAGCACATCTATCAACACTGGATCCAGTGCAACCTCCAGTGGGGCCAGTACTGCCTCCAACCCTGGATCCAGTGTGACCGCCAGTGGATCCAGTACAGCCTCCAATATTGGATCCAGCACAACCTCCAGAGGGGCCAGCACATCTCTCAACACTGGATCCAGTGTGACCTCCAGTGTGACCAGCAGAACCACCAACACTGGATCTAGTGCAACCACAGGAGGCTCTGGCATACCTTCAACTGGAACACACACAACTTCCAATAGAATTAGCACAAGTGCTGCTACTCCTGTGAGTGAAGTGAAGCCCAGTGGGTCTCTGAAGCCATGGGAAATCTTCCTCATCACTCTGGTCTCAGTTGTGGTGGCCGTGGGACTCTTTGCTGGGATCTTCTTCTGTGTGGTGAGTGTCTAATATGTGGGAAAGTGCCTGGGAGAAGGAGTAGCAGGAACACGAGGAAATGGGGTATGAATAGTAGGGGCACCAAGTTGGGTGTGGACAGGGAGGAAAGAAAGATCAGGAGAGAGTTGCTAAAGTGAAATAGCAAGGTAGAATTGGAGGAGCCAATCAATGTGCAGAGGATACTATTGACTTGTGGAAAAAGAGGGGCCAGAAGAAGGAACAAAGGCTGGGGAAGGAGCATTAAGTGAGGGAGATAGTTTGAAAGGGGAGAAGACTCCAGAAGGAGTCCACGGAGAAGGCTTGGGGTAAGGGAATACAATTCTGAAATGATTTACCCTTCTTTTTCTAGAGAAACTCCCTGTCCTTGAGAAATGTCTTCAACACAGCTTTCTACCGCACCCATGGCCCCAACCTTGGCCTGGGACCTGGAGGGAACCGCGGAGTCCACGATAGGCCTAGGTGGAACTCTAACTGGTTCTGGAGGAGACCAGTATCTTCAACAACCATGGAGATGACAGGGAGATATGATGGGCCCTGAGCAGACCCTGAAGCCAGAGTATCACATGCTTCATGGAGGAAGCTGACCTGGGGAACCAGACACTCAAGTGTCCTTTCATTCATCCTCAGGAGTCCCCTCTCAGCTTTGTTTGGGTCTCTAACAGCCATGAGGAAGACACTTCCTTCCTCTCTCTTGCTTTTACCAGACACTGGGAAGAGGCGACTCTATTGGTCATTTAACTAAGAAATAAACACATCCAAAATATGATGGAGAGAACCTGTGTGTGCACGTGAGTGGGTGTCTACAGCGCTGAGCCGAATTTCCCAGTTATATGAGAGAACCCCCATGCCATAATCTACTTGGCATTCAAAATCTCCACAGTAAAATCCAGAGACCTCATTCCTATCTGTCCCCTTTTTCTAATTCTTCTCACCCCAAGCAAGACTGCTGTGTTTTCGAGACTCACCCAGATTGATATGAGAGTTTAGCTGGGAGAGAAGAGAAGGGAGGGCAGGTGCCAGGATTCTACGGGCTCGTTGATTAGGCCTGTGGTCCACAGAGATTATGCTGTGGCACATAGAGAACCCAGGGCATGACGAGGTGGAGAGGTGCAGGTATGTGTGCTGTGGGGTGGAGCATGTTCACTCCAAGTCACAGTTTCCAGGGCATTTACATGTGCTCCAGACCTAGGCTAGTTGTCAGAATGAAGGTGCTGGTCGACACTTGTCTCTCTTAGAGTGGTCCCTTCGGAAGCAGAGAGAAAGTGCTTCCTGTTTTACCAAGGGAAAGACTTCTGGCCCTAACCTTTCTGGCTAAGGTTTAACCTTCAAGAGGCTCATGGCAGAGACAGCTGGGGTAAAACATTTTAAAGAGATTCTCATGAATTCCTCTCCTAGAAGGGCTGCACACATCCCTTTCATGGGTCCAGGGGATCCTACAGGTTTTGGAGGACAGAAGATAGCTGCTTTGGAAGGTTGAGTTGCTTCAAATCCACGAGGCAGTGAGGGGACTCCCACCTTGGACAGAGCCCTCAGGAGCGAATTAGCAGTTTGTTGGGGGATTCACTCCAACTCACAGCAGTGGAAACTGCTCTGCCTTCCAACACTTATTGGGTTTCTCAAACATCAGCAAACCAAAGAGTTGATCCTAATCAATGAGGCCAGGGTAAGCCCTACGTGGGATCATCATCATGATCTCTCTTAAAGGGATCCAGCAACCAGAAGGAGAAGCTGAGCTGAACACCCCAAAAAGGTGTCGCCCAGTAGTGTGAGCTGTGGAAAGCATAATGTGAAAAACACGAAAATAAATAGGATCAGGCCAAGGAATTCATTTAGATAATTAAAAATTGTAAAACATGCATTTTCAAGTTTAAAATTATAATAGACAAATTGAAAGAGGCTGACCATTGTTGAGAATAAAATTAGTAACCTGAAGAGCAAGGGGGAAAAATAACTCAAGTGGACACAACATGGTGATGTGATTTTAATGGGTGAAAATCACCCATAAAATAGAAGACACTTGGAGGACAGATTCAGGAGGACTAACATGCGAGTAATAAGGTTTCAAACAGAGAAAAAAGGAAGAGATGGATGAGAGGAAGTTAAAGAACAATAGAGAAGAAAGTTTTGAGTCTGCAGATTGAAAGGGTTCACTAATTACAAATCTGTAAATATACTAAAAACGATTGACCTATCTATTTTTAAACAGATGAACTAAATGGTGTGTAAATTATATCTCAATAAATCTATTAAAATATTATTACCAGGCATGTCATGTAAATAAAATTTTGATTTCCAAAGATAGACAGCAAATGACTCAAAGCAATGGGCACTTCGAGATAGAGGAAGATGAAAAGGAAGGAAACCTGGGTGAGCAATTTAGCTTGTGGTTAATTCACATGGTTATGCTGTGACTATCTCGCTACTCCCAGCAACTGGAGCGTGTAGGTAGTTAGAAAGCATCATTACTCAACTTCCGTCATGGAATACATTTACGCGGATGACACGTGTTTTAACTAGACAAAGCCCCAGCTCACCAAGCATGTTTGACCCAAGTCGAAGTCCAGGGCTTGGACAGGGTTAAGCACTGCCCCTTCAGGACCTTGTGTTTTTGCACTGTTGGTCCAGTGCAATGACCTTCAAATGGAGTCTGTCCCATGCTCTCAAAAGTACATGAAGACTTTCTAAAGAATATTAAGCAGGTGTGGGATGTTTTATGGGAATGATGTTCCAGGTCTTTCATTTCCATATATTTATTTATTTATTTATTTTGCCTAAAACTGATCTGTCTGAGAAGACCTTTGTGCTCAGAGCATCAGGCTAGTTACACTTTTCTAACTCCTTTTTTATGGGCACCGACATTTTTCTTTCTAGCTGCTATATTATTATGTTGAAAACCAGGGAACAACTCAAAATCTCTTCTAATTTAAGCGTCATATTACTCAAGGTAGGGCTTCATGTTTTCCTTTGCTTCATAGAAATTCCTGTTAGGAGCTAAATGGAGTGTAACAAACTGGTAATTTTGGTACATGTTAAAGACATTATTTATTCAGATATATTGTAGAGTGAGGCAGCAGGAGTAATTAAAATTTCTGTTTAACAATCTCTTCTCTTCCACCTCCTATCAAAGAACGCATCCCTCCTGCGGGAGCATCTCATGAAAGTGGAGCAAAGACAATATCAGTAAGAAATAATAAAGATGGCAGTGCTTTGTTTAACCCAGGCAAAGACCCTATGGCAACTCAACCCACCTTCTCTGTCTGTCTATTTTAAAATATTCAAGATGTGTAAAAATTTGCCTGGAAATACCATCTTACTATGAAGCACACCTCCCTGGATGGTACACCATTCTCTGGAAAGAGATAGAGTATCTCATTCATCAGCTTCTTGGTCTAGGTCATGGTGGTGTGTTTTGCATGATTTCAAGGAGGAGAAAGTTAAAAGTTTCACATTTACTTCCAACTGATTAATTTTACATCTCAAGACGAAAGGAATGTAGAGAGGCCGTATAGTATGTCAGCTAAGAGCACAGGTTGAGGAACTAGAATTTCTGGTTTCACATCTAGGCTCAGCGTGACCTTGCACAAATTTCTTACCTCGCCAGGGTCTCAGTCTGCTCACCTATAAAAACGAGGGTGATAACAGTATCCATTCATGAGACTGCTATGAAGCCCCTAAAACAGTCTCGCATTTGGTAGCACTTCATAAATTTTATTATTTTTTATATTGGGTAGTTTAATGCTTCATATTTCCTTGAAAATATGGAACAATGTTGCATAAGAAAAACATTTCCTTTTCATCAAAAGGTTATTGAGGACTGTAAAATTTACCACTGAGAGTCCTACAAGTCACGGGAAAATTTTAAAAAGTTTATAAATATATATTTTGGTGCAGAGAAGCATGACAGGGTGATCACTAAAAATCTTTCAAGCAAAAAATAATACGGTAGAACAATGTGGAGGAAATAAAATGTTCACAGAGCAGAAGGAACTGTGTAAAGCCCTGAACTGTTGAGGAAGAACTAGCTTAGATGCTGTTAGAAAGGATAAGGGTGGATATTGAGATGCTATAGTGTCTAGAGTCTGTCTGAAACATTTTAAAGAGTAGTAAAACTGTTTTATTATTTCAATGTTTATATTTACAATATAGAAATTATATTCTCTGCAATTATTAAACTTATGATAAAGTTAGATTAAACATAAACAGGCGAAGGAATACATAGTTTTTCACAATTCTTTTTGAGTATAAGAGTGGAAAAATTGAAGACTGTGCAAAGTGAACACTTCGTCAGTGTTGAAGTTGTTGAATTTTAACATGCATACACTTATGTGCCCACCATCTAGACCCTGCTATCCAGCATCCCCCTCATCTCAGAAGGCTCCCCCACTGCCCTCTCCTCACCAATACCACTTCCACAGGTAGCCACTGTTTTGACTTCCTCATCATCAGTTCACTTTTCTCTGTATTGGACTTTCATATAAATGGGGCCACACAGTATACACTCCAAAAGAGACCCTCTTAAAAGGTAATGAAATTGGATCACCAATACTTGGCAAGGTGAATTCACATCCTCATCCCTTACCACAGCCCTCCCTGCCATTGGTGGGAACAAGAGCCCAGGCACTAAGTCAGATCAGTTACAGCAAATTAAGTCATATCTGAGTTACCAGGTGTAAATTTCAACCTACTGTTAGTTGTGAGCTTATAAATAGGGACCATGGTGAGTTAGGACCCCTGGTCTGTGCTGAAAGAGATGCCAAAGATAAGCCTGGAAAATTGGTGGTGCTGGTCCCTGTGCCCTCTCCCATTCGCCCCCGTTTGACACTAGCAGTGAGAGATTTACTCAGTGTCTACCTTCCCCATTCTTGGAGAGTCCAGCAAAAGTATCACACAGCCACGTGCTACCCTGAATCTAGGAAAGAACACTAGAGAAGACCCCGAGTGTGTCTGATGACTTTCACAATCTCCAAATCCCCAGCTTTGCCCCAAAAGACACCTATTGACATTTAAGATCCATTCACATCATTTTCTTCTCTTCCTCTTTCCTTCTTCTACAAAGGTCTGCTTTGGAAATGAGGCATACCCAAAGAAAACAGGTTTCAGATCATCTCTGGTTCAAAGGGTAGGTCCCTTCCACCTGACAAATTTGATTCTGTCATTCTGATTCGCCCCCCCGCTCCTTCTCATGCCGGCAGACTCTAATCAGCTGACTTGCCCATCTCTTCCGCCTTGGTCCCTACAGGTTACCTCTGTCAAACCAGCCCTGAAGTGCAGAAAACGTAAAGCAGAGATGCCCCTCCCTGGGAAGGGAGGGCCTGAAGCTCTGACCTCCCCTAGCCAGGATCAGGTATAAATCCCTTAGATGTGCTCACAAGAAAAAAGAAGAAAACTAGGAAGTCAAACTGTGGAGCAATTTGTGGAGCTCCCACTCCCCCACACCCCCACAAGGCTCACCCTGGAACTGACTGGCCTTCTTTGCTCTTCCTGCAACTTCATTTTCCATCAAGGCCCTAGGGGGTATGCCCCTTGACTCTCCGTCTCTGCAGCCCACCTTTCCTCCGGAACCTAGGCATTCAGATGACAACTTCCCATGTGAATCATTTCAAGATGAGGAGAGGAAAAATCTCTCCTGCTTTCTGGTTCCTGTTGCTGCTCCTCTTTGGATTCCTGGGATGGGGTAAGTGACATCTCAGTTAATGAAGCAGAGGGGTATGGAGGCCACAGGTCTGAAGGAGATAGGGGTGCCCAGCCCAGGCATGACTCTTCTTCCGGAGGAAAAGATGATTCACTCTTTTGTTCATTTCTGCAAAAGCTAGTACTGACCCAGCTCCATTGACCATGCTTCTGATGCTGCTTTTGTGCAAACCCGTAGTCATCTCCCCCAGCTGTGAGTATAAGCACAAGTGGGGTGTCTCACTTCCCATTGTATGTTGCATAAATGTTTTGTTTTTAACTGGAGCATCCTACTTCCAATAGCATCCTCAATTCCAAATTAGACCCAGGTTTTGAGTCTAAAGTTAAGTAAAAATATTCCCTCCTTGAATGCTGCCTGATTTCAAATCCACACTTCATCCCTCAGAATTCCCCCTGGGAGAAACAAACTGGAGGTTGACCACGGGGAAACCAGGCCTCTGGTCTGGAGTCAGTGGTAGTTATGGAAGGAAATAGCCCGAGGGAGAAGTGAATCTGTGAGAAGTTTCTGTGTGATTCCAACTGACTGCCCGAACTGGTTCCATTGACTCCTGCCTTTGATTTCTTACAATATCAAATTTTCTTCCTTAATTATTACAGACAAGGTTAATCAGCTTATCTCTTTCCTTTGCCATTACTGTAGGATGACATGCCAAGAAAAGGGAGGTGCAGAGTTGAAAGGAAAGATCTAGGTTGGATGATGTAGGGGATTTTGGGTGATTTTTTCGCCCTCTCTTCCCTAATATATCTGATTCTTGCATCCTTTTCTGAATTTGCTTCCTCACTCTGCTCCAGCACTCCTTTCTTCAAGGTTCCTTCTTTTTCTTTTCCTTTCTTGTGAGCCCCTTCATCTTGAATGCTTCAACTAGTCTCTACCTACAAACGACTTCCAAATCCTTCTCCAGCCTGTCCTGATCCCTAACTCCAGTCCTATCCATCTGATTTTAAACGATAATCTCTTTACCTCAGACTGAACAGGTCATTCAACAAACATTTATGGAGCTCCTGCCCTGAGCCAGGCACTGCTACATGCTAAGCCACGGTGAAGAATGGTGCATGAAATGCCACAGTCTCTGCCCTCATGGAACTCCTAGTCTACTGCGAAAGATGCACATAAACAATATTTCATTACAAAAAAAAGCACAAGTGCTGACAGGCACCTCATTTTCTCACTACCAGATCTATAAAATAACTCTTCATTTCTCCCTTCTCCAATACAATGAATTAGCAAGGATTAACCCCTCCATCTGACTTCTGGATCCCTCCTCACCTTCCTGCTGTCTCAGGGACCTTCTCAGTGGGTTTCTCCTTCTCCCATCTTTTCTCCTTCCACCTTTCTTAGATCCTTCCCATCAGCATCCAAACAAGCTCTGGTCCAGTGTGCATATGTATCACCCAAGGAATTTGTTAAAAACTGAGATTCTGGGGCTCTGGCCCCCAGAGGTCCTGATGCAGTAAGCTTGGGAGGGAGGTGCTGAGAGCTGCTTGTTAGCAAGCACCTCAGGCAATTGAATCACATTAGTCCTTGGACAAAACATTGTTTTGATAATATCCGTCCTTACACCTTCCTCACCCACATCACTCCCTAGCCGCTGCCTCAGCTTCCATTCTCCTCCATTACCCACCTTCTTGAAAAAGGTCCCTACATTTGCTATTTCCACTTCTCACCTCCCATTCACTTGTTTATTTTATTTTTATGAGGTAATGCATGTAAATAATTATGAAAAAGAAAGAATGACACAAGGCTTATAATAAATCTTGAGACCCTTCTCCTTCTGCTTCTCACTTGCAAGTCCTACTCCAGTTTCTTTTGGCATTTACCTTCATATTTGTAAACAACATTCTTAGGCTACTATTCCTTGTTTGTTGGCTGGGTATTTTTTTCCTGCTTCAGGCATGATTTATTGACTTCCTTCTGAAAGATGAAAAGAGGATTTAGCTCTTAGACCTCTCCTCCAACACATACACATCTCATATTCCATCTCACAATTCTTCCAAAATGTTGACATTAAATTTTTAGTGCTAAATTAGTATTTAGTATTTACATTATGATAACTATGCAAATAACACTTATAGCTGGATCATATATTGCATTATGATTACTTTCCTTTCTTGTACATTTTTGTTTTTCTAGGTATTAATAATAGCCTCACTTTTTAAATGTGCTTAGTTGTCTTTATACATATTAATTCACCCTCAAACCTCCATCAAAAGTATACATTTCTTCTCAATTTCTCATGAGCCAATCTATCAGTTTCACTTTTTCCCTTAAGAAATCCCATCTGGAAGCATCTGTCTGCCTTCAGTAAATACTTGTTGCTCTCTAGGTATGCTGCCAGCTCTTGTCCTACAATTTTCCTTTACCAACATTCTGGAAATTCCCTTTTCCCTCTTGTAGGTCCCTATCTTCTTCTTTCTTGTTTTATTTTCTCATTTTGGTGCAGCACTGTCTCTAGAAGCTTCCTGAGAGAGGATTCATGGTAGGAAATTGTTTTAAAAACACGTGCACTGTTAGGGTAATGCTAAACTGCTGTAACAAAAAGATCCCAAAAGTGACTTTGAAAAATAAGCAAGTTAAAAATAAAATAAACTTTATTGTAAAGTTAAAGTTAGACAAGATAGACTTCAATATAGGATGGTGGGAGCTCTGCTGCAGGCAGTCATTCAGGGACCCAGGGTGAAGGTGGTTCTGTCATCTTCAGCACAAGGTTTCCGATGTCATCATCATATTAACCAAAAGGAAGGATGGAAGAACAGAAATCAAGAAACAGGAATTTTCTCTTAAGCAAATGAAGTGGAAGTTATATATATTCCTTCCCTTTATGATCCTCTGGCCGGGCTTAGACACGTAGCCATAATCATCTACAGGAGAGATTGGGAAACGTAATCTATCTATGTGCCAGGAAGAAGAGAAAAATGGATCTAGGAGTCTGTAGATCTTATGTTTAAAAACATCTCTATCCCATCCTCGCATTTGATTCATAGTTTAGCTGGTTATAGAATTCTAGTTAGATACCATTTTCCCTCAGAATTCTGAAGGCATTGACCCACTGCTTCTAGACTCTAGATTGTGAAGTCTGATAGTTTTTTTGATTACCAATTGCTTGTAAGAGATGTATTTTCTTCTCTGGAAGATTTAAGAGTTTTAAAAACTAGTGTTCTAAAATCTCCTTGTGTGGTGCTATAGTGTGGATTCCTTTTTCATTGTGTTTGAAACCTATAGAGTAGAAAACTCATGTCAGTTTGTTCTGGGAAACTTTCTTCCACTTCTTCTCTGATAATTGCCTCCCATCAATTTCTCTGTTCTATCTTTCTGAAAATGTTGTTGTTTGGATGTTTGACCTCCTGGACTGAGACTCTAGTTTTCTTATATTTCTTCTTCTGTTTTCTAACTCTGACATCTTATTTTTCTTCTGGGAAGTTTTCCTCAGCTTCTAAGGTATTCTAATACTTCTAATGAATTTTAATTTTTTTAAATTTCGAAGAGATCTCTTTTGTTCTCTGTATGTTCCTTTTAAAAATGACATCCTTTTATTTGTTTTTTAATGGGTGCTATATTTTTACTTATCTTGCTGAGAACATTTGAAGTTGTTTTTGCTCTCTGCATTGTCTCAATTGTCTCTAAATTTGCTTCATAGGTATGTTTGTTTTGGTCTTTGTTTTTCAAGTTAGAGACTTTCCTCAAATACCAGGTGATCCCAGAATGTCTTTTATATTTGAGAGTGAGGTACTAAAATGATGGCCAGAACATCTGTGTTCTGGGGTGGGGCCTGTTAACTAGTGGACTGAGTTCCAGGGTAACTTAGCAGAGATGTGGCAGCTTTGATTGGGAAGACCCTCAAAATGTCAGTGTCTGCAGGTATTTTCCACTGTGGGCTAACTTCTTTTCTCAAGAGGAATTCTCAAGATTCCTGCCTAGAGAATATAAGCATTACTACTGGAAGCCGAGTAGAGGAAGAGGCAATGAGGGCTTTACTGGTCAGTGTGTAAGCATTCACTTAATTGCCTACTTTCAGTACAACTCCTCAATCCTGACATCAGCAGTGCCTGGGATCCCTGAACCAGAGTTTCTTTGGTTTCAATATCCCCAGGGATAAATCCCCAGGCTCACGTGAGGGAAAGAGGTGTATTTACCTAACCACTTGAGTGGAAGAAGGGATCTGGGGCTGAGAGATGGTATCTAGCTGCATTGTGTTTCAACCATCCCTTCTGTATTTAGTCACACACCACACCATATCTTCAGAGGAACCTGGTTGCAATTCCTAAACCTTTTCAGGATTCCACAAAATGGGTAATTTGCCAGTGGTTGACTCTCACCCACAACGTAGGCCTGTATGTTGAAGCATTCCCTGTTCCGTTGGAGAGTTGCCACTCATCCACCTGCTATCCATTATCTAAAAAAAAAAAACTTATATCTCTTTTACTGTTGCAATCTCCCTAGTTCTTTGTCCTTATGGAGTTACGCCTTTTGTAATTTCTCTACTTTTGATTCTTCTGTGAAATCCTTAAGGCTTCATGCATACTCATTCATTCTTCTGTTCACTTCAATTGTGGTCTGCTCCATCAAGAAAATCTCCTCTCAATAAAGTAAACACTTCCATATTGTTCTCCAATCCAATGGACACTCCTCAGGCCCCATCTTACTTGATCTCTTTGCAACAATCAACTCAGACAACCACCATATTTTTTGAAAGCCCCTCTTTTCTCTTAGCTTCCTTGATATCACCATTCAGAGTTTTCTTTCTACCTTATTAACTGCCCCTTCTCAGTCTCATTTACTAGTTTCTCCTTTACCTGACATCTGAACGATGGAGTGCCAAGAGCTTGATCTAGGGCCCTCTTCTCCAGTTATACTTTCCCCCACAGAGGATCTAAGTCAGCCTCATGGTTTTAAATACAATCTATATTTACATGACTCCAAATTTTATCTATTGTCTGATCTCTCTCCTGAGATCTAAGATCAGGCATCCAACTGACTACCAGACA